CATGAGTTGGCTGACTGTTCATACTGTTTCTGGATAATATTAAAAAACATTCCATTTTGCTATACACCTGAAACTAACACAACATTGTAAATCAACTATATTTCAATTTTTAAAAATTTCATAGTAAAAAAAGTCTCATATTGTCCCCAAATTGGATATTGTTTAAATATGAACAAAAATGATATTTTTAGTTCAATGTTAATGTCTCTCAACATTTATAAGTAGCAGCTTTTACTTCCCTAGAGTTCTGTCAGTTTTTATAGTAGCTATTTTTCACCTAAGTTCTTTTCAGTGTTATATAGTCTTTTGGTTTTAACAATCAGAATATTTGCATTCAGTACTTTGGAATGATCCTAATTTAAGCACAGAGTTTAATTTTAAATTCTCTGCAACATAAGAACATATACAAAACTAACCCTAACTGGGAACACTAGTGATTACCTATAGTGTTTTACAATGGCCATTTTTACTTTGGTTGCAAAGACCCAGTTTCTTAGAATCCCATATTGTTTGTTGCTTCAAGATAAAAAGGAAGTATAGAAATCTCTGGGAAGATATGCGTAAGTATGATTTAATCACCAATATTGTATCCATTTAGCTTTTCTCCTTATCAGGAATGTTGCCTGTTCTAGGCAGAGAATGCTTTTGAAAGTACGATGTTAGCTGCATGCAAGTACTTGTGTCTGCATGCTAGGAGGTAGCCATAAAGCTTACAGCATCTTAATTCAGAACAAATGGCACTTACAGTTTCAGTCTCTTTAGAATCATTAGAGTGGTTGAAAACTGGATATAAAGTATATATTTATGAAGAAAATACCAATAAACCATGGAATTCATAATTCTTATGAAATATATAATTCTACTGAAGCTGCAATACATTTTAGAATCTGAATTAGAAGATTTGTAGTTCATTTTTTTAGCAAATTCCTGTGATGTTAGGAATATTAAAGGATTTCTGTAAATTATAAAGTATATAAATGTGTGTTTATCTATAAAACACACATATAAGTTACCTGAAATATAAGGTTACCAGAAAAAAAATGTTTTTGAATTAGCGGTAAATTGGTTCATCCAAGTTCGCAGTTTAGTTTCACAACATAGGTGTACAGACAGTTTGTTTAGATGTTTAATTTTTTCCCCCATCTGTTCTGTCAGGATTATTGATTGAGCAGTAAGCCACTCCAGGGCATACATAGCCTCCTCATAACTGCTTGCCTTGAGTGCATTGTGTGGCCTGGCGAACAAGCTGAGGAAGGTGTTCCTTCAGCTTCCCAGTAAATCTTAATTGGTAAAAGAATATTGAAATGAGTGTGTTTTTTGAAAGTACCCAGTAGCCAAATATTTACATTGGGAACTTTAATTGATGGTATCATTTTAAAATATATAATTTATTATTTAATGTCATTCTTTGAAATTAGTAACCATTCAAGAGCTGTTCATGGTGATTTTTTAAACTCATCTGGGTTTTGATAAGTAGAAGTATCTACACTAAATGTTATCAAATATTAATCAAATATTGCCAGAACATTTAATAGTCATTGATAACCTGCTGTGACTTCCTTGAGTCTTAGATTTTATTATATCATAAAGTGAAGCAATCTCTGGCTTCTAGTGGAAACATTGAAACTAAGCTTTTTTTCCTAGAGCCTGTGCTCTGTTGGGGTGTTTATTGATATGACCTCTTGTCATTTTTTAACATTTACATTCTTTTAGTGTTCCAAATCCCCACTTGTTCTTTATCTCTGTTTGGGCATTTGTGTTAAATGTGCTTATAAAGTGAAGCTGTATCTAAGGTTACAGAGGACAGTAGGTGTAGAAGGAAATACTAAATGTCTGCATTCATATTTAAAGTTGATTTTAGTTTAAACATTAGTGACATTGATTTCATGGAAAAGAGACACTGTCTTTAGTTTAATTCTTCAGGATAAGTCTTTCAGTGGATTATTTCTTTAGGAGCAGGTTTTGACCTGCATTTATATCTAGATTATATGATAAATTGCATTTTAATGGAGTTGAAATGTAACTTACCATTGTTGTACCTCTACATTGCCATTTATCCTACTGGTTGGATCAACCCTCATGATAACCATGAAGTAGATTAGCCTTTTTGCTAGGGAAAAAAAATCGTCAGAGGTAACCAGAAGGAATTGCAACTCTTAGGTTAAGGAATGTAAATTTTATATATTACTAGGCTGTGGATTTTAATTTCACTCTGGAATTTCTACATTATTTCAAAGTATTGTATTTTGAAATAATTTAGATATAAGGAGAGAGAAAAGCCGTTGTATGAACAGTGGTAACATGTTTTTTATTATATAGCCACATGTAGAATATTATAATCACTTTTATATTTATTTCTTGTGTATTTCATCTTCCAGCTGTCTTGAGGTAGGAGTTGAACAAAAACCTTTCTTTTTAATTGATAGCAAAGTCTCTTAGATAAAGAGGCCTGGCTGAGTTGTTGGGGTATTTTCTCCTCAACATTGCCTAAGTTTTACATGTCAGTAAGATAATACATTACATCAGATTTGTTTAGTACAAAGTAATACAGCAAACAGCTCTAATTGTAGCATTATGTATGTATATTTCAATGAAAGCGCGTATGTTCAAAAGCAAAACCACATATCTTGAGAATCAGTGTTCGTTTTACAAAGCTAAATAAAATATATTTTATTTTATCAAGCAGATTTTTTTACAATGCAGTTTTATTTTTCAGTTGCTTATTTCTCTTCAAAAATAAAACCCTTTTTTAATGTACTCACTTTCCCTTCTGGCTGCAAACCAGGTATTTAAACAAAAATAAAGGATTGCCAGTTTTGCCAGCTGGGGATGAGAACCCGGCTGGTGAAATGTGGGTTCGGGAGGCAGTTAATCCAGCTTTTATGCTTTTTATGGTTTTATGAAAAAAGAGGTTAAAAGCTACATTTGGCTCTTTATTGTATGTACCACAGTTTTGTTGCTGTTGTAGGAATGCAGTAAAAGATTACTTAGATTTAAAAAATTTTGTTATTAGGTAAAATCTTGCATCTATTAGATAAAGGCCTACAAACAGTACATTCTACTAATTGGATGTGGGAGAGATTCAAAAGTCACTGGTATTTAAAAATTATATATACAGTATTTCCTTTAAGTACACAGGTAGAATTCCTTCTACTTCAAGTTGTTTCTTGTTTTCTATATGTTCTCACATTACTCATTTCAAACAAGTAGAAATTTTAAATATTTTTGGCTAAAGATAGAAACTAGAATTTATTATTTTCCCCAAAAACATCTTGCTTAGTTTGTTATTTACAAAAGGGTTTTGGAAAAATTTAGAAACTGGACTTATGTTTATATATTGCCAATGCAGTTTCTAGTTGTCTTTAGCCACAAAACAATGATACAATTGAATTAATACTAGGGATGTAATGTACAATATGATAAATATGGTTAACATGCTGTATGTTACATATGAAAGTTGTTAAGAGAGTAAACCCTGAGTTCTCATCACAAGGAAAAAAATTTTTTTCTAATTCTTTAATTCTGTTTCTGTATGAGATGATAGATGTTCATTAAAGTTATAGTAATCATTTCATGATGTATGTAAGTTAAATCATTATGCTGTACACCTTAAACTTACACAATGCTGTATATCAGTTATCAAGCTGTATGTCAATTATGTCTTGGTAAAACTGGAAGAAAACAATCTTTTCGTAGCATTTGAAAACACTACTAAATAGATCTTTAGGTAACATAGTTTTTTTCTTAAAATTAAATTCTCCACCTTTAAATACCCTGTCTACCAAAGTTCCTTTCATAGTATTTATAGTGACCATAGTGTAGCTGTCAAAAATATTATGTGCGTTTTACGAAATTATTAGTTAAATTTTAAATAAAAGTCACATAGGCGTAATCTTCAACAACATACTTACTTAGCTCAAACTAAGAAAGTTTAAAACATGAGTACTACTTTGTTCTGTATCAAATTCTCTCCAATGTCATCAATTATAAGATTTGTTTGATTGATTAATTTCATGTATATGGTTTTCTTGATCTGTTTATCCCAAAGCTAAGAGGATCAGATAAAGTAAGCTTTAAGATTATTCAAATATAGTATCTTAAAATAAAATATTGAAAGATCCAAATAGATAAAGAAAATTCCATTGGATGAGGAACATATGCAGTAGAAGGGTAAATCAAATTTTACCTTTCTGGGACAAATGGCACGTCATCATGTTTCAGTTTGAACAGGTTGCTCTAACATAGCCTAAATTATACTTGCATATTGTTTCTTACTAAATTTATTTTACATGTAATGTGTTTTGGGAAATAAATTTAAAGTCATATACCCTACAAATATTGAGTCCATAATTTTTATTGTTTGTGTTTAATAGAAATTGTTGTGAGGTACTTAAACTTTGGATACTAAAGTTTATTACAACCCAAACAGTAAATCTTTATATTCACCTGTTGCTTAAATATTTCCTGAAAGAGTTTAAACATGTAGGGGCCTCCAAAAGTTTTTATATTTATTTTCATGGTTGTCATGCCCTGGACTCTTCTCTAGTACATTGCATTTGTTTATTCCTATCTGTCACTGTTTGATTTGTAGTAGTTGGTTCTTCTCAGTACAAGAATGTGGTAGACACATTATGTTATCTATAATCAGCACAGTTTAGCTCTAAGTTGTTACTTAAAGTCCATGTTAGTGGAATCAGAATGAAAAATTAAGTAGGCCTAAATGAAAATATGCAAATAGTTTTCATTTGATCCTTAGGGCACTCATACATTCATTTACTTAGAATCTGTTGCAATACCTTTTTTGGTACCCAGTCATTTCTGGATATATATTGAACATTTCACATATATGGTGTGATTTATATCTTTTGTAGGATGCTTCATAATTTAAATGTCAAGATCTCAGAATAGCCTACCTAGGTTATGTAAAAATCTTATGTTTTATAAATAATACTTTAAAAGCTAACGTGTAAAAATTGATCTTTTACTGGTTTCACTTTTAGGTGTTAGAAGATAATGACTATGGCCGAGCCGTGGATTGGTGGGGCCTTGGGGTTGTCATGTATGAAATGATGTGCGGGAGGTTACCTTTCTACAACCAGGATCATGAGAAACTTTTTGAACTAATTCTAATGGAAGACATTAAATTTCCTCGAACACTCTCTTCAGATGCAAAATCATTGCTTTCAGGGCTCTTGATAAAGGATCCAAATAAACGGTAAGCCGCAAATAACACACAGTGAGTTAATGATGAATGTGGTTAGGAATTGTGATATGGAAATTAATTCAAATATAACTAACTCCAAGAAGCAATGTATTTGGTGTAGACATCTTCCTACTGAGACACTGACTTATTTTTAACTGCATAATATAGAACATTTAAAAAATTCCCTCAACTCTTTCCTAACTTGGAAATTTTATACAGATTTTACCACATAAAGATTTTGAGAGTTTTATGAACAAACAGTTTCTTAATTGCCATGGTGCTTGCTATTGTGGGGATAGGAGGATCCCTTTTTTCCTTTCAGTCTCTGGGCTTTATATTTCTGCTGATTTACATTATAAAACAGATAGAACTGTCTCTATACTCTCCTCCCACACGTATGTATGTTAACATATCTAACTACTTTTTTTGTTTGTCTTTGAAGATAATTCTTTTCCATGCATGGCTGAAAGGACTAATGGCAAAAAGTGTCTTTGCATACTTTGTATTTCTATTTTTGTAGCTATAGCTGTGACCTGAGGAATCCTACAGCTCTTTGCTTAATGAGCTGTAGGATTCATTGTTCATGTTTATATCTTTATTTACACATACATTTTATAAGTCATACATGAAATGAGTATTAATTTTAAAATGTCCCTTAATATATGTGTTTGTATATACATGTGTATATTCTTTGTTCCAATAGATATATATGCATATCAGTATGTCTCTGAAAATCTCTTAGACCTTAAGCGTCTTAAGGGTAGGCCATTTCATATATTGTTTAATCTTTTGTAACACCTCACATAATTTTTGTTAATGTTCTGTTTGTGGTTGATGCTCAGTATGTATTTGTTGACAGACTGAATTAATGAGTGAAGGAATAAATGAATTTTAAATTGTGGGCTTTGTCTACCTTAGAGATGGTTTCCATCACATACTTCTAGCTTTTAAATTTGTGAGCAACATGATTTTACCTTCAGCAGAAATAAGCAAACATAATAAAAGAGGTGCCATCTTTATGCTTTGTGAAGAACCATTCAAACATGTTTCATAATTCTAGTAACTGAAACCTTACCTTATATTTATAAAGTGATTTTGTGTTCTTTGTCAGGACATTTGCACATCTCTTGTTTCCCTTGCTTTTTAGTAGCCTGTGGAGTAGGTAGGATAGATATTATTCTCATTTCCATTTGACTGAGGAGAAAATGAGGCCCAGGGAGGGTTACGTGATTTATCCTAGTTCTCACAGAAAATTCGTGCAGAACAAGAATAGAAATCAAGTTTATACTTGCCTATTTGATATTTCTCTTGTATCTTCTTTACAGTGCACCGTTTTCTTAGTTTAGGTTTTAAAATGTATTCCATTTGATGTGATTGTTTCACAACTATTGTAGCAAGTGGTACTTGGCAATAGATAATCTTTATATAGAGCTAGGATTTCAATTTTATCTAGTTGAGTTTTGGATCTAATATTTGCCTTAGATTTCAAGGGCAGTGAATTTTTAACCCATCTTTCTTTGACTCCTTCTGGTTTTCATGTCTATGTCTCATTCATTTTTTTATTGTCATTTCCCACCCTCCACCCGCACCCCACCCCCTGGGGATAGCATGTAGTAGGTACTTAATAATTGTTGAATACACGTGAGGTAAATTTTTAGAATGTTAGTGGCCTGGTACGTAGGACAACTCTTAAAGTTTTGTCTACCCAGAGGTTGATATTGTCTAAAGAGAAGATGTGGTATTTTTAACTATCTGTTATTTCCTTTTAAGGTAGATATGTCAAGCCCCTCCACTGCTACATTAAAATATTGGGAATGCAAGGATGAATAAAATGGGTAATCTCTGCTCTAGTTGTTCATAGAATAATGTAGGGCACAAAACATATATTCACAGATGCTCAGGTTAAACTACGTACAAATACTTTTGAAATTATTAGCTGTTAAGGGGATTGGAAAACTTGAGCTGGCTTATGAAGGAGTTGCAATTTGCAGTGGCTTTCATGAAGAGAATTTTACATGTAAATAACAGCTAGAATTGCAAATGAACATGGCATTTGAGAAGTTCAGCAACTGGAGTGTAGAATATGAGTTGGGTAACATTGGCAGATGAAGCCGATATGTTAGATTGTAAGGACCTTATCTTTCTTAGAAAATATTTAATCTTTATTCAGAAGGGCATGAGAAGCCACTGAATTATTAAAAGTAAGGGATGGTGTAATCAGGTCTGTGTTACGAAAAGGTAACTCAGGAAGCTTTGTCATGGATAGATTAGAACAGTGAAGCGCCAGGGGCAGGTAGGCAGGGTAATTAAGAATACATATGGAATTGTCCAGATAAGAGATGGAGTCCTTCCTAAAGCAGTTGTCAAGAGTGCTAAATAGAACTTTGTGAATGATTAAATAGAAATGGTGAGGAAGGGGAAGGAGTCAGGATGCTTCTGAGGTTTCCAACTTGGATGCCTAGTTTGGAGAATGGAGTTATTATTAACAGAGAAGGAGTACAGGCAAAGGAGGAGGCTTGATGGGGTGGATGTTGATATTAGTTTTGCTATACCGAGTCTGAGGTTTCTATAGAAAACCTAGATGTCAAGCAGGCAGCTGAAAATAGTACCAGTGCTTAATAGAAACACAATAACTAATTTTCTCTGGGTATATGTCAAGGAGTGGGATTGCTGGGTCATATGGTCAAACTAAAAACTATTTTTAGTTTTTTAAGAAACCTCCATACTGTTCCCCATAGTGGCTGTACCAGTTTACATTCCCACCAACAGTGTAGGAGGGTTCCCTTTTCTACACCTCCTCTCCAGCATTTATTGTTTGTAGATTTTTTGATGATGGCCGTTCTGACCGGTGTGAGGTGATACCTCATTGTAGTTTTGATTTGCACTTCTCTAATAATTAGTGATGTTGAGCATCTTTTCACATGTTTGTTGGCCATCTGTATGTCTTCTTTAGAGAAATGTCTATTTAGGTCTTCCGCCCATTTTTTTATTGGGTTGTTTGTTTTTTTGATACTGAGCTGCATGAGCTGTTTGTATATTTTGGAGATTAATCCTTTGTCCGTTGCTTCATTTGCAAATATTTTCTCCCATTGTGAGGGTTGTCTTTTCATTTTGTTTATGGTTTCCTTTGCTGTACAAAAGATTTTAAGTTTCATTAGGTCCCATTTGTTTATTTTTGTTTTTATTTCCATTTCTCTAGGAGGTGGGTCAAAAAGGATCTTGCTGTGATTTATGTCATATAGTGTTCTGCCTATGTTTTCCTCTAAGAGTTTTATACTGTCCGCCCTGACATTTAGGTCTTTAATCCATTTTGAGTTTATTTTTGTGTATGGTGTTAGGGAGTGTTCTAATTTAATTCTTTTACATGTAGCTGTCCAGTTTTCCCAGCAAAGATGAACTTATTTGCAAAGCAGAAATAAAGACACAGATTTGGTATCCACAAACTTATGGATACCAAGGGCGGAAGGATGGGGTGGGATGAATTGGGAGATTGGGATTGACAGACATATATACACTACTATGTATAAAAGAGATAACTAATGAGAACCTACTGTAAAGCACAGGGAACTCTATTCAATGCTCTGTGTGACCTAAATGGGAAGGAAATCTAAAAAAGAGGGGACATATGTGTACATATAACTGATTCACTTTGCTGTACAGAAGAAACTAACACAACATCGTAAAGCAGCTATACTCCAATAAAAATTAATTTAAAAAAAAGAAACACAAAACTGAATATTTGGATTTGGGATCTGTAGATATCTAGGAGGTAGCTGGAGCCATGAGAATAGTGAAAAGTGTAGAATATAAAAAGAAGGCAGCCTAGGACAGAGTCTTGGGAAATGTCAAAATTTAAGAGGTAGAAAGAAGAGAAAGAGCCAACAAAAGGACGCTTCCAAAAGTCTTTGGAAATGTAATCAAAGCTAGCACTATAGTATACCTCTTTATTATTCCTATTCAACTATTTTAAATACTGCCTGAATTTCTTTGATACTCTTTACAGAATTGCTATCAGTTCCATCAAAGAGTCAGCTCTCATCTTGCTTTTATTTCTTATTCTGCATTACATTATGATTATTCTATCAGTATCTCCTTTAGCCTCCTATGCAAATTTTGTAGGAAAAGCATGACCTCATGTTGCATTCAATAACACAAGGAAAATGTGAATTAGATGTTGTTTCTAGTTGTGAAGAATCCATAGTAGCTGAGGATTTTAGTTTGGCTTTCTGATATGGGAATTTGGTATTCTTAGACAAAAATATCTTAATGTAAATTATATTTTGATATAATTTTGAAGTTTTAAATTGTATATTAGGGAGTCATTGACATTGAAATTTTTGACAGTTTCACACTTTGAAGAAGCTTGTGTTAAAGAATCTCTACCAACTTCTAAAATGGCAGCCTAAGATTATATTCTTAGTCTTTGTATAGCATTCATGGCCGATACTTTAATTTTATATGTATTTGATAAATATAGATTAAATGCTGTCTATGTCCAAAGCCAAACTATTGCTAGAGAATTGAGGGGTGACATAAAAATGAAAAACTGAAGCTGAATTAAAACCTTTTAATTACAAAAATGATTACGGTTCTCCATTCCAACTCCTACCTCATCCATCATCTCATATATATAATTAAGATTGAAAACAGTATTGAAATAAACAATAACATAAATGTAAGAAAATACAATGAACTGCTGATTTTTCTTGTGCATACTACTTTAATGCATACTTTGAAATGTTGAATAATTCTTTTCAGAAGCCTGTGTTTTGGTGTTTCTGCTTTCCTGGCTCCCTAAGCACAAGCTTTAAAATGCTTTTTGGATAATCCAGTACTGAACTCTCCCCTCCAAAGAATTTGCATTCTACCAGGAGAGAGACATATATAACTTGAAATAGAATGAAAAAGAGTGAGGCCAGGGAGTCAAGTGCCGAGTGTTAACTAAGTATAGATTTGCCAGTCTGAAAGTTGCAAATATGCATGCAACTATTATGATCTGATCCAATCTAAAAGTTCCATATCAGGAGTGTAGTTTATTCTGTATGAATCTTGAGATAGGAGACCTAGATAGTGGGAACTATAGGATCATCACTACAGATATTCAGATATCAGCTAATTGTTTTGTTTTCCATTCTGACAGTGTGTCAGAGGATCCTGGATTCTTCCCAGTCATGTATTTCTTATACCTAATAATAACCAGAATTCATTAAAATTGTATAATTGTTTGTTTTCTATGACCTACTTGCGTTTCTTCTTACTCAGTGTTGTGTTGGGAGTTGAAATGTACCAGCTTAGAAGAGCCAATTGTTAAATTTCAAAAATTTTGTGAGCTGGTTGTTGAATACAGTCATTATTAAAAATTAAATTATATAAACTTACAGTTAAATCAGGAACATTAAAATCACGGGTAAAAAATACTCAAAACTCATCACTCTTTAATAATGTTGTTAAATTTTACTCTTATCTATGCTTTTGAGGTTACTTATCTATTTTGCTTATATATTTTGAGGTTAGAAATACTATATAATGTTTTACTTCCACACATCTTGTATCAGTAAAAATAATAATATATATAAAATGCATTATATTGTATATGCATAATTTCCCTCAGAGAGCTGATTGTTAGGCATTTACCAGCACATATCATTCCTAACGATGAGTAAAATCAAATAAAACTTGCTGTATCAAATTCAGATTTAAATAGATTTCCTTTCTTTTCCTCTTTCTTTCCCTGTCCTTTTTTTCTCTTTTTCCTCTTTCCCTCCCACCTTACTTCCTTCTCTGTTTTTTTTCTGTTTCTCTCATCCTTTCTTCATAGTGACTAGTAGGTACTGTATGAAACTGAGAAAGCTAGAAAGCACCTGAATTTCAGATTGTGTCAGGTATCAGTTGAATAACATTTCCTTCAAAGATGGGGTGGGAGTATTCTAAATTTTTAATTTATATTGAAACTTGCATAGCATATTATATTGCAGTGATATTTCATAGATTAAATTTATCATTTCTGTGAAAATTCATTTGAGATATGAAAATACTCCATGAGTTTCTGTCTGTTAGCAATGTTCTCCAAATTGTTTTTTCTAAGTAATTATCTAGTCTTTTCAGAATTTATGTTAACAAGGGTGCATTTTGACGAAAGTCGTTCTAAAATAAATTTGGTTTATAGAATTGACGATACCATTTATTGTGCTAGGTACTTATGTTATTTCTAACCCTTGCAATAATCCACCAGGCTGGTATTATTAATCCCATTATACAGATGAGAAAACTGAGATTAAGCAACTTTTTTATTGTCATATATCTCATAAATTTCCGAGCCGGTTGCCTGTTTCAGGTTTGTCTCCAAAGCCTATGCTCTTTTCAAATACCATACTGTCCTGAGGCTAGTTCTTATTAATAGCATATTAGGAAAATTAGATCTTACATTAAAAGCTTTTTATTTTTATGGCTATTTATCACAAGAACTATTTACACACAGAAAATTACATTTCACAAAAACTTTGTAGTTATGCATTCAGCTTATGTAAACGTTTTATACTCATTTAATTTTATTTCTGTCCTCGCAGCCTTGGTGGAGGACCAGATGATGCAAAAGAAATTATGAGACACAGTTTCTTTTCTGGAGTAAACTGGCAAGATGTGTATGATAAAAAGGTAGGTTATCTTCATGGCATAGTGTTTATATATTTTGGTTAAAATGAATTTACAGCAAAAAAAATTTTAAGTGAATAAAAGTGAATGATGTAATTATATTTTTCATTTTTACTCAGTCATTTAATTGAATGTAGGACTCCTTAGCACAAAATTTTCTTGATAGTTTTGACTCCCGAAATGCATTTTGAAATTTTATTCAATGTGATCAGTTTTTCTTTTTTATCACAATAATTTGTTAGTTTGCTTCTCATCATTTCCTTAATTCATAAAAAATAAAGGCACCAATGTTATGTTATTCTTCAGGAAAATTAACTAGCAAAACAGTCATAATTTTAAAACTTTGTCTCTATGCCTTTCATTTTAAAGTGAGCTCTTATTTATTTATACAATTTCTTATTTCAAAAGGAATTTAAAGCAATTTAGTTTTAATATTTAACCAAGTAATAAATTTATTTGTCTTCTTTGGAACATCTGTTATTTGAAACAGAACTTAAAGACCCAGAGAATGGATGCTACAAATTATATAATTTTATTTTTACTGTAATCTGCTTAGTACTTGTTTTTAATACTGCAGTGTTTACTTAAGTTTAGGAACAGGAAATTATTGTGTTTGTTCTATCTTTTAAATTTTTTAAATTTTATTTTTACTACTTCAGATATTGTTAGTACAGACACTGATTTTTATATTTTGATTTTCAAATGCTCATATAAAAATTTTACTACGAAAGTTTTATGTAGTTCAGCATTTGCTTAGAATTATTATCTAGTCATTTTGTGTAGTTAGTCCTTCCATTTCAGTTTATTCCAGGTTTCCATATTTTTCTCTAAAATATATATCAGTCAACATTTATGTAGTGTCTACTTTGTGCCAAATATTCTTCTCTATTAAACCCTAAAGATAGAATGATATCATATGAGTTATGAGGAAGTGAGACGAGTACTTCATTTTTGTATTATGTTACAGTAATAGGGAGTGTGGTGATTTTGTAAGCATTTACTGTAAATAGGTGTTTAAAATAGTTGCACCATGTTATGATACCTCTACTCAAACTTCACTTCAATTAAACTTACATCTCTTCAGCTCGGTGCTTTGTGACCGCCTAGAGGGGTGGGATAGGGAGGGTGGGAGAGAGATGCAAGAGAGAGGAGATATGGGGATATATGTGTATATATAGCTGATTCACTTTGTTATAGAGCAGAAACTAGCACACCATTGTGAAGCAATTATGCTACAATAAAGATGTTAAAAAAATTTTTTTGAGTTTCTACCATGTATAAAGCACTATAAAGGTAGGTATTGGATCCTTTTCAAACCTTATGAGAAGCTTGTGACCATTCTTAAGTTTTCCTCAGTGTTTATTAACTTCATGTACACAGTTATACATCCACTTTATAACACTGATGATATTCTTTATGAGTTGCATCCATATATAGCCCCTAATGCACTATGTACTGTTTATCATGTCAGTACACTATAAAAGATCCTGAAATTGGGAGACTGGGATTGACATATATACACTAATATGTATAAAATAGATAGCTAATAAGAACCTGCTGTATAAAAAAATAAATAAAATTAAATTTAAAAAAAAGAGAACCTGAAAAACAAATCTGAAAAGTATCAAGATCTTGACATGTCTCCTAGAAATAATATATGGTCAGAGGTTTTCTTTGGCAGGCAAAGTTATAAGCCACAACTAAATACTCCTTTGATATACCCTGTCCGAGGAGGATTCCACCACAACCACCAACAACAAAATATGACAGAAAGAAAAATTTCTTTAAGAGACAAATGTAGAGCACCAGTATGGCACTGCTAACCTTAAAGAAGGGGCAAAACATGGACTTTCTTCAGTCCTATTCAGAGAGTAAGATATGCTACAAAGATTTTGTCATCAGCATGCAGCTTTTCATGTTAAATTGTAGTTTGGCATCATCTAGAGAACGCTCTGAGAACCCACCTACCACACAGTGAAGAAGCAAGGCTTATCCTGTCACTGTTCCACTGGGCTCAACATGCCCAGAGCAAAGGTACTATTAAGATGTCTACTCAGGCAGCTCCCTTGTGGTGAATGGAACTGGAGAAGCCTGCAAGTAGGGTAGGAGAAGGAGCTGCCAAAGCACAGCTTTGGGTGATATATGTGAAGAAATGAGTTTAAATTGTTAGTATGTTGATAAAAATAGTTGCTACTTAATTTGAGGAAAGGTGTTAGCTATCTTGCATAAAGAAGCACAACCACAAAAATCACAAAGTTTCTACACTCATATACACCTGCTACAGGTTTACTCTTGGGATGTGGGTAGTATACTGGATGTCAGATGATGTACTAATGTTTTCAGCCATCTTCACACACCTGAAGAAGAACAGCATCATAGCAGCATGCTTAAATTTTGAGACTCCTTCTAAAAGGATGTGAAAATACAATTGGTTTTATTTGGGTTTGTATTGTATCACTAACAAACAAGGAATTAATTATAGGAATGCTAATGCCAGTAGCTATTTTAATGAATTCATTTGTAATTCTAGTGTTTTCAAACATTTTTAAGGGGTCCTATGTCTTTAAAACACGTAACTTATTCATAAAAGATTAATTCATCTCTAAGATCAGGTATTTTTTTATTACAGTTTTACTAATGTGCTTTGGGACATTTACTATTTTTATAGATTTATTCCATGATTATTGGCCATTTTTCTATATATTGTGGCAAACCCAGAGATGAAGGCATATGTAAAGATCCTGGCATCTTTAGGGGAAAGCTAAACCTCTTCCTAGGCAAAGTTAAAAGTGAATTAATCTTAATTACAAGTATCATGATGTACCACTCTAAAGAACTTGGTACTGGAAAGTGGAAATACTCATCCTGGATCTGCTTCTTCCCTCTTGTGTGGAAATGGACAAGTTGTTTTACTCCCACATAAAATTATGATCTTTGAAGTATCTTCAAGCTTTAGGATTCTCTGATAGGATATTTCATAATATGAATTAATCTAGTTAAATTTCTATATAAGATTTATACTCAGTTTGTCAACATCTACAAAAAAGTCTGCTGGATTTTCTGTGAGATTATGTTCAATTTATAGAAAAATTTGGGAAGAATTGGCATATGAACATGCTATACGTCTACATTTATTTAGGTCTTCTTTAATTACTCTCAGGAATGTTTCATAATTTTCAGTGTTTAGTTCTTACCCATATTTTGTTAAATTTATCCATAAGTATTTCATGTCTTCTGATGTGGATGGTATTTTTAAATTTCATTTCCATATTGTTTGCTACCAGTAGAAATGGGCTTGATTTTTGTATATTGACCTTGTATCCTACAAGCTATTAGTTTTAGTAGCTTTTTTTGTATATGACTTAGAGTTATCTAAATAGATGATCATATCTTCTATAAATAAAAAGTTTTACTTCATTTTCAATCTGCACGTATTTTATTTATTTCTTTTGCCTTATTATATTGGCTAGGACCTTTCTACAAAGTGGAATAGAAATGATGAGAGTTGACATCCTGACTTTGTTTCTAATCTTAGGGAGAAAACATTTTTTACCATTAAATATGACATTAATCACATCTAGCACCTAAATCTTCATTACTCAATGTCATTCTCCAGTATAAAGAACCAAGGTTATTTGGAGAAGTAGTTGATCCCACAGCTGGGATGGGGAAGATAAAAGAAGAGCCCAAGGAATTTTGTGGTACCAGAAAATTAAAAAATGAAGGTAGATGGAAAAAGGTGCATGTTTGTACAACACAGGAGCCAACCTTAAATAATTCCCAGTGGTGAAAGCTGGGACAATTTCAGTAGCAAAACAAATATTGTATATGACCAAAAAAATAAGATACATATCCATGAGTCTATACTGCAGAAATTAATGATTGAACGAATAGATAAAATACTGAGAAGAGACATGTCTTCATTATAGGTGAATTCCGGTTAATAAATGTAGAAGGAATCAGGGAAATAGAAAATTACCATTAAAACACCAGAGTAAAAATTGCTGTATGCAAGATTCACCAATGAATGTTAAAATTAGTGGGCAAAAGTTTAAGAAGGAGGATATTTGCATGGTGTCAACATATCTTTCCCCAAATACATATTTACAAAGATTAAGAGAGTAATTTTACAGTAAAAAGCTCTGGCAAACACTGTCTTAAACCAAGTGATCAAGATTAATATCACCAGTAATAAGACACTGAAATCATTATAACCCATGATATGATGCCCTGAGAAGGCTGTATCACTTTTGTACTATATTCCCTCAAAATGCATAACCTCAGTATAATCATGAGAAGACCTAAGAAACCCTCAAAAGTGTCAACTTCATGAAAGGCAAGGAATGATTGTGAAACTTTCACAGATTGGAAAAGACTAAGGTGACATGATGACTAAATGCAATGTGGGATTCTAGATTGGATCTTGGAATAGAAAAGGGCCATAAGTGGAAAAACTGGTGAAATGTAAATAAATTTGGTAGTTAATACTTTTGTACCAATTTAATTTCTTAGTTTTGATAACTGTACTATGGCTGTATAAACTATTAGCATCAGGGGAAGGTGTGTAAAGGGTATATGGGAACTGTTTGTACTATTTTTCTAAGTCTTTTCTAAGCCTAAAATTATTTCAGTATAACAAGTTATAAAACTTTGATCTAAGTGTAGGGTTTTTTTTTTTTTTCTTGCGGTACGCGGGTTTCTCCCTGTTGTGGCCTCTCCCGTTGCGGAGCACAGGCTCCGGACGCACAGGCTCCGGACGTGCAGGCCCAGCAGCCACGGCTCACGGGCCCAGCCGCTCCGCGGCATGCGGGATCCTCCTAGACCGGGGCACGAACCCTCATCCCCTGCATCGGTAGGCGGACTCTCAACCACTGCGCCACCAGGGAAGCCCTAAGTGTAGGGTTTTTAATACCTCCTTTATTGGGTTGAGGAAGTTCCTTCTATTCCTAGTATGGTAATAGTTTTTATCATGAATAAGTGTTGAATTTTATTAAAAGTTTTTT